CGAAAGCTTTAGAATTAGATAATATCCTATTATTGTATCGTTGTGAAGTTAGGGTTAATATTCAAACTATATGTGAAGTATGCTCTCAAAATACCAATTTTGATCAAAATGTAAGTTCTAAAATGACTGGAATGACAGAATCAGGGTGAGAAAAACCTCACACACACATTGCGCACACTGCACAGAAATACCAAGATACTGAAAATGCATGTGGGCAGGGGAGGTGAAACTAGATGTGACTGTTGGCGCTGCAATGGGTTTAAAAAACATGGTAGGAATAGAGCACAAGTGAAAGGCCCTGAAGCTTCTTTTTTCCAGGTAGATCCAACATCATGGGTTAATACTGAGAGGTCTATAAAGTTAATTGAAAAACTGCTCACCGCTACGCTATGCTTTAGAAAATAGGATGAATAGCGATGGACCTTTTCCTATTTCACTCGTACAAATTGTGAAGAAATGTAACGCAGAGCTCCCAGCAATGCAACTATTAAACACATTTTCAGAAATAGGTAAGAGGGCAAGTAACAGATGACAGTCTTTTACAACCACGGTATGCAGCTAATCTAAATCTGTATTGTATCAAACCCACCATGTTCCTTTAGCCCTATTGGTTCTATAGTACATGTACACAGCTCCTAACAGCATTATGTACACTCAGTACTGTGATATGTTTTACGAATACGCTTGCATTGACACAGCCGTGCTTCGTTTTGACAAAGACTTGTCATAGTTGCATAGTTGCATAGTCCCATGTAGTGTAATGGGATCATTTAAAATCCATTTAGCCAAACCACTATAGCCATACTGGGGGATCAAGATGACACAACTGACATTATTACTAGGCAGATATTGTCCTACTTTTTATTTCTAAAGTGATTTACCCTTGCTCCATCTGGAACCGGATTCATGATTCAAGTGATGGGAGATTTTTTCACTCGCAGATTGGTTTTAGTGAACAATAGATATGCAATAGACTGAAGGAGATGGTATTGGAGCCCATACAAAAGAATATGACCATTTCTGTCTATCAGAGGCCTGTTCGAATAGAAATGGGGATCCCCTGCCATTTTGGCCCCTCCTTGTGTGAGTCTGTTGTCCATAGTCTCACTCCAATACAGCAGTACCAGCCAGCAGCCTGTCCTCCATCTTGGCTCTAAATGTGCCTGTATCTGTATAAGTCTGTTTATCAATAGACTCTTATTCTTTTCCAGGGCGAGTGTAACCAGCCAAATCCACATAAGCTCATTATTAGAGGTAGAACAGATCTGCTGGCTCGAGAGCTGAGCAGCCCGTTGTTTGGCCCTCGCTGCTGCCTGTTTAAAACTGAGATGGATGCGGCCCAGCCTCTCTAAGACTGCTGCTGCTAATCAGAGTCAGACCACAAGAAAGAAAGGAGACATTAAGCTATTCAAGGAGGAACACAGTCAAATGATCAATGTGCGAGATGGATTACAATATCAATGGAAGACAAAATATCTAAATTAGAAAAAGAAACACATGTAACGGTGTTGACAAATGCCCCTACCTGAGCGGTAGTGTCCAAAAAGCATGAGCAACATTAACATTTTGCATGATCCTTGTTCCTGCTTACACTGTAGTCTGTGTCAATCATGTTTGCACAAATAATTACAGCACGTGTTTAAAATGTAACTCTAATAAGAATACTGCTATGTGGAAGCTTACCACGTATTACTATAACTCACAAACCGCCTCGATGTGAATATGGGAAGAGCCAGCAAAGTCTTTATTTTCTCTTCAAGGAATTCCTTTAATATGTGCAGCAAGACGTTACAAACCTTTTACCATTCTGCTGATGTGAGTGCCACAGTGCTACCATCTGCATAGAAAAAAGCATCAGAGCTGGCAGTGCTAACACTGCATACACTGATTAAAACACTGAGTTGGTTCTCGACTACTCTGGAACTCTTGAAAGTTTATACTATAAATTATTCAGATACTCGTTTTGGCCTGAGCATTTGCATAACTCCTTAAATAGGTCTTATAATTACATAAACAGGATCTCAGATTTTGAGCTCTGCATTTGGTCTACCTATGCTGTCCTCTGGTCTACCTATGCTGTCCTTTGGTCTACCTATGCTGTCCTTTGGTCTACCTATGCTGTCCTCTGGTCTACCTATGCTGTCCTCTGGTCTACCTATGCTGTCCTCTGGTCTACCTATGCTGTCCTCTGGTCTACCTATGCTGTCCTTTGGTCTACCTATGCTGTCCTCTGGTCTACCTATGCTGTCCTCTGGTCTACCTATGCTGTCCTCTGGTCTACCTATGATGTCCTTTGGTCTACCTATGCTGTCCTTTGGTCTACCTATGCTGTCCTCTGGTCTACCTATGCTGTCCTTTGGTCTACCTATGCTGTCCTTTGGTCTACCTATGCTGTCCTTTGGTCTACCTATGCTGTACAATGTATTATCTCTTCGATTTACACACGGCATCTATTGCACGTCTGTCCGTCCTGGGAGAGGGATCCCTCCTCTGTTGCTCTCCCTGAGGTTTCTCCCATGTTCCCCTTTAAACTGTGGGGTTTTTCTCTGGAAGTTTTTCCTTGTACGATGTGAGGGTCTAAGGACAGAGGGTGTCGTATTGTCATACTGATATTCTGTACAAACTGTGAAGTCCACTGAGACAAATGTAACATTTGTGATATTGGGCTATATAAATACACATTGATTGATTGATTGATTGATTGATTGATTGATTTCTCAATTTGAAAGGAGATACATTTTTTAAATCTTGGCTCGGCTTTTGTAGGAAGCCATTTGGGACGTAATTGTGACTTTACCAGTGATAATAAGAGATGTTCGGTAAAGGGAAGATGTGGGACAGTGGTTTGGTACAGGTGAAACATTTGTATGTTTATATGCTTAAGAGTATGTCTACGTTGAAGCTTGAATCTCAGAAATAAATCTAAAATGTCTTTGATAAATAACCATCTTTATCCGCTGCATAAGCAGAGGTGAAACAGGGATTGCATGTTGTCATTTCACTTGACTTTTACCTCAGCTTTCTTTGTCCTCAGGGTTTGAAGACTTGTTTCTTCCTGAAGCGTGACACTGTGAGCACCCAGCTGGTTCTGCAGCCCTCCTGGTGGGCTTAGCATTTATTCAAATTGAGTGTTTGGTACCCCTGTGATTTTGCAGCTTAACTGAGAAGCAGGGCTGATCCAACAGGAAGTATCCCATAGAGGCGATATGTCACAACCTTCCTGTGACTTCAACTTTGGTTCTGTCAGAGATTTTGCTGCAGGGTGGTCTGTTAGGGCTCAATCATTGAGAGGGAATAATGAGAGTGGCTGTCAGTTACTAAAGTTTGGTCTGGATTTGATGTTCCGTATGGCCATGATAGAATATGAAAGTATTGTAACCTGCTTTTAACAAGCTCAACAAGTGAAATCTTCAATTCCATTACAGTTCACTGCTTTTCGCTGTAAAGCTTGTGTATGTTTCAGCTGCATTGTATGGCTGTGTAATGGAAAACAAGTTCAGCAGTCTTGGATATAAACCAAATTAAACCAAAAATATAAAGATATTCAAGTTCATCAATACGTTTTCATCCCTCCTGCATTGTATACAAAAGCTTCAGTAGCAGAGCAAAACACATCACCAACCAAGAACCTCGTTCAGTCTTTTTACCTCCCGTTAGCGGTTCACATGAAGAGTGACGCTGTCGGAACGAAAAACGGAGGCGGTTAGATAGATAACTCCCTGTCTGCTAGTGACATGTTGTTTGTCATGATCTCACAGTGGCTCTTTGGCACTCGGGACACATCATCACTCTCACCATTTGACACCCACTAAAGTGATGTTTTTTTAACCAAGATAGGATAAATCCGGGGTATACTTGCCTCACTCGTAAAAAGGCATTCATCCTTCTCTTTTGAAGAGAGCTAACTTTATCATCTCTTTTGTGATTTTGACCCATGGCTAATGCAACTGTGTGTAACTTGTTGTTCAGCTGGTGTTTGCATAAATTGTATGTGTTTTCAATTGTGGACAAATTGTTCTAAGATTGTAATTTTAAAAGGCATGGCGAAAACAGTTCACTGCTGACTAGCTCACACTTTCTCTCGATCTCTCTCAGGGGAAATTGTCTTCTTACTGATTAGACTCTGTTTTGTGAACTCACTGCCCAAGCAGCGTTTCAAATTGGACAAACACACTCTCATAGAACTAAGCACACACACACATACACAAACACGCACAAAATCCATGCCTCAGAGGAAATAAACCTCAGCCACGCTGTTGTAGCGTTAATGGCCAAATCCTACAGAGGCACTGTATTCTAAACTAAACAGAAACGGGAAGTTAAGGCTTCACAGTATGGAGTCTGGAAGATGAACAGGGAAATCTCATGTCTCTAGGGAGTGAACCGCAGCCAGTTCATTGGTAAAAGAGATAAGGAAGTACTATGCTTTACCCTAGTGCATACAGATTGTATACAAACCTATAAAGCCACACAAAAGCAATACAATATTTGTGTTAGTTTATTAGTAATTAAATAAGTATTTTAAGTGAAATGGTTGGACTAAATTATTGTGTCTAAAGAATCTAACATAGAACGGACAATACTCTGAAAGATAATGAATTGCCCATGCATAATTAACAGCTGGGAGCAAAATGAGAATGAGGTCTTCATCCTGCCTGCATGTATTATTAATGCTACTCTGTATCTGTCCTATCACTGTTATCTATGATAAAAAGTGATTCATTATTCACCACAGTAAATTGAATGAATGAATAGTTTTAAAAGATTCTCAGGAGACAAAAAAAATCAGGACTTGAGCTTTGAGATAGCTTCTCGTTTCATGCTCCAGTGTGAATGAAAGATTCAGGGCAATGAAGCGTTATTAAGTTGCACTCTCAAGTAATGAACTATTGCATTTCAGTTGCTTCTGTTCATAGCAGGATGTCAAAGACTCCTGAGACCTTTTGAATTACTGTCCAACAACTTCTATACACTGAAACTGCTTCTCCCTTTCCTCTCAGGAACACTTTACGCCAGAGTGCAAATTCAAGGAGTCGGTGTTCGAGAACTATTATGTGACATACTCCTCCATGATATACCGGCAGCAGCAGTCGGGCAGGGGCTGGTACCTCGGTCTGAACAAGGAAGGAGAAATCATGAAGGGGAACCATGTCAAGAAGAACAAGCCAGCAGCCCACTTCCTTCCCAAACCTCTCAAAGGTAAGCCTCTTTCACATTTTACTGTCACAAGACTAAGGGCCAGGTTGTGCTTTAATAGAGTTAGTCCATACAATGCCAGTTCCAACCATGTTGAAAATTGAGACCATTTTTTGCTCTGAACAGCCTCACTTGAACACAAAGCTGTCCGTCTTAAATATTGAGGTGTTGTGTAGTTTGAATATGGGAATAAAAGCGCACATTGTGTGTCTCTCCTGAACAGGCACTCAGATGATCAAGGTCAAGATGCAAAAATAGTTGCGTCAAGAATGAGAAAATGGTGTAGGGGGTATTCAAAGCTATTCAACAATCCAACAAACAGTATAAGTGCAACGCTGTAACTATTAAATCTACTGAGGTTTTGAGTTATTCAGTCACTTTTCTATTTGGTAAATGGGTTGTTTCTCACAATAAGAGAATCATGAAAAGCTTTCGCTCTTCTCTATTAAATGCCGCCATTTTCTCGATGGGGATATTCTGTTTCTAAAGCGTAAATGAGCTGCTTCCTCATGACCCTGTGACCCTGTACCATTTAGCATTCTCCTTAGAAATGCCGGTGTAGACCGAGCTTCCTGTAGCTGGTCACACTCTGCTGCAGACAAAGTGAGGAACAATGCTGTGCCTGAAGCAGCAGGAACAATATGTTTTTATGCTTTGAATAGTAGTGATTGTTTTCAGTACAGTCAAGTCAAAGAGAACCCCACCCAACCAGGCTTTGTTTGTGGTAATGTGGCAATGTGGAGAACAGAGGGAGAAATGGTTTGTTCTGTTTCCTTTCATCTTCAACAAGACACAGATGTACCTGTCAACAGAGAGGAGACAGAGAGAGAGTCTGTTTTCACTTCAGTAGGATAAAAAGAAAAGCACTTCTTTACAAATTAGAGTAGAGTAGTAATAAAGTTGTGTGTCCGCATGTAGGTATAAGGGCGGCTATGTGTTTTCTTATATTTTCCTGAAATATTATAAACTCTTTTTTAATATAATGCAGTCAAGGATTCACCAAAAGCCGTAACACTGCTATGTATTTCAGCTTTGAGTTCAAACAATTATTTCTACATTATGCAAATGTTATGCTCTCCCTATTTCGTCTCTGGTGGAGCTCATTCAGGCAGCATCCTATAAAGCTTCTGTCTGCCCTTTGACATCGCTATGATGATCTTTTCACATGCATTTGAACAGGCCATCCAAAAGGTCTGAAACACACTTTGGAGAAATAACCAGAGAATAATTACATTGCGTAATGCAGATTGTAAAAAGAAATACTGAAAAAGAAAAAGTGATTAAAATCCTAGATATTTGTGTGAGACATTTAATCCAAAAATTGCTGGCTGAAATTAAAAAGTGAAATATGTAATTTTTTAGATCCAACAAGCAAATCAATAATGAGAAAAATATCAAAGATGTACAGTAAGTTATACTCCTTCTTTGAATTTAAATATCTATTAATGCACAATATTTACTACGTATTGTTTATAATTTCAGTTCCAAGTGTATCAAGTGGTTTGCATTTGGACATTTGCAAGAGAAAGAGAGAGAAGTAAAGAAGAATTTCATCCAGCAGCTCATAAAGATTTAGAGGAGGCGGTGTTACAGGGCACCAATTAAAAAGCTGTCTCTGCATTGGCATCTCCTCCAGCCGTTACTCACTTCTCTTCTGGTTCCAGTCTGTGAGTCACAGCCCACAGCCTCTCATTCTGTCTTCCTCTGGATGAAGCAAGTGCAGCTCATGTCATTCAAACCCAAACAAGAAAATCCTCTTTTAGAAATTCTTGATGCAAGACACAAAGAGCTGCCTTTATTGGAAAATGTGTACCAAATTCTATCAAGTGGGCGTCTGCAGTTCAAACACAGGGAGATATGTGAATGAATGTAAAATGGATGGTTAACGTTGGGGATTAATGTTTAAAAATGAATAGCAGCAGTGGTGTCGAGGTGATAATCAGGTCAGTCGCCACCGTTATAATCGTACAGTACTGTCACTTCAAAAGGGAACTAATCATCAGTGGTTTCCCAGTATAACCCTGCCATTGATTGGTGTTTACAAAGATGGTCCCTGGATTGCTGCTGTAACAAAAAATGCTGGGCTCAGTGAAGTGTCTGAAGGACTGCATTTGCTGTTTCAGCCACACGCTCCCTTAGGACTGAACATCAAATAGCATTCTAGGCAGAAGGATGTTGATAACATCCTGAAACCAAAGACTCAGATTACTGATATTTCTTCTGAAAAGCCGCTGCTGAGATGTACATTGGGCCAATGCTGCAAACAAAGCTAAAGCACTAGCTTCTTCTGAATTTATAATGCCATGCTGTGAATATAGGATTTTTTTATTTCAGCACCTGATGTTATCTCTTGAGTCAGCATTTTACAAGGAACTATGACCAATATTTCATATTAAAACATCACTGGAACTATTATAACCGCAAACAAACGCAGTCCCACTTTATTGCTATCTATCTTCTATAAATCACAGTTCTCTTTTACTGTTGTTTCTTCAATGTATACCAACTATCAGTTTGTCTGATTCTCAATTACTTTGTGTTTCCACAGTGGCAATGTACAGAGAGCCATCCCTCCATGACTTGACAGAGTTTTCCCGCTCCGGCAGCGGCACACCCACCAAGAGTCGGAGTGCCTCGGCTGTGCTCAACGGCGGCAAAGCCGCGAGCCAGAATGAGTCGACGTAGCCCGGCAGCCGAACCCAGGCCGGGGGCCGAACCACGAAACCTTACCTCCAGCAGAGCGTGAATCCAAGCAGACAACTCTCACCGATCAACGGTTCAGGACTAGCTACGACAACAAACCACACACGAACACCATCAATAAAAAAAAGAGTTAGACACCATCCTGGTCAATCATTGTCAAAAAATCATCAATAGTCAGCAATTTAATGTCACATAAACCATTCTGGACTCAAAAGACAAATAACATTTCTGTTTTGGTCTTGAGTTTTATCCATTACTTTGACCACTCTCTTTGGGTGATGATCGCTTACCAATAACTCATCTTTATCTTAGTTCATTGTTCTTAATTTCCTGTACACGATAACTTTTCTTTGGTAATTTAGACACCAAGCACTCGTTCATCTTTAAGACAGGGACAGAAAGTTAGACATAAAGGCATTCAGGGCCGCCAGTAATAGTGCTGGACTACAACGCTGCAGTGGTACAGTACAAGCCCTGATCTTTGTCTAATCCATGCTTCTGTGAATACAAAGCCTATAAACTCCCTGGTGTGGCACATCCTAGTGCTGCTGGGACTGTGGCCAGCCAGACGGTAGCTCTCCTGCGTCCTAGTGCACACGCTCAGAGACTGAGCTCTCTAGCATGGGAAATGAAGCCTATGTTCAGCTGACCTGAAATATAAAGGGACAGTGTGGCGCTCTTGCAGTTTTTCTTTTCTTTTCAGAAATGCCACAGCTGCATCTTGGTATTTGCTAATTTTTGGAATTAGCTCAGAGTTTTTTTTTTTAAACTGGTTTTGTTTGTGTCCCCTCTTGTTCTCCTCCCTTACCATTTGTAAGTATTGTATTTGTTTTGCTGTTTCATGATTGAAGGGGGTTCCGGCAAACCAAAGACAGAAAGAAAGAGTGTCCCTTTAAGCCGCTGAAAACCAAGCCAGGAAAAAGGCAAAGCTGGAATTTTTTTCTTTCATTGTACATTTTTGATTAAAGAAAGCAAAGATTTTGTGAAAAAAGTAATAATGGACAAAGGAAGTGGTTTGAAACACTTTGGAGTTGGCAACGTGCTTGATGTTGTACTTTTTGCTGATATGCTCGATGGCCGAGTTATGAAACGACTATTCTGTGTTCCCATTCCCTTTTGTTACCACTGTGTCACGATGTCTTCGTCTGTTGTCCCTGTGATCCGTTTTTCCTCTGTGCTTGTGTCATACTTCAACTCCCCCACCATCCTTTTTTGTCGACCCCTATTGACTGATAACACCATAGGAATATGGTTCAAGCCCCTTCCCAGGATGCTTGTTATGTGTTTGAGTAAATTATTGTGGTGACAATATTTTCTATATTTAAAAAAAGAATACTGTGGACTTTTAGGTGGCTTAACATTTTATAGGACACGTCATATTTGTAAAAGTGAAAATAAAACATACAAAAAGGAACATCTTCCCTGTCTTGCACAGGGCATGTACAAACTAAATGATGTACAAAAATGACCCTTTTTGTGGGCTAAGTACTCTTCCTTTCAGCTACATAACTTTTGTTCTGGTACATGCTTCTGGGAGGCTTCTTTTCTTGGTTTCCTCCGGAGGTGGTTTGTATTAGGTGAACCTCTATGTTGCATGGGAGAAAGCAGGGAAATTCTGGTCTAGAGCTGCATGATGTAGGCTATGTGTATTAACCCATGTTGGATCATGTGTTCCAAACTACCAGACTAAATCTGATAAAACAACATTTATAGGCAGACATTGTGGCTGCCTGATAACTTCCAGTTGTTTATTATTTGTTGTATACACAAAAATGCACTGAATAAAATGTTTATATTAAGATATACTTTTAAAATGTGTCAAACTTTCTTCTTTGTGCTTTCAATTGCCTTGGTGGTGTAACATTGGGAGCCACGACGCATTCTCTCACTGAACACACACTCACTGTTTGAACACCGACGTATCACATAAGACTGTATATATGCCTTCATTTGCCATTGAGTTGAGGAGGAGAGTCTTATAAGGCTAAAAGGTTATTTTTCTATTAATCAGAAAACTAGAAAAACAGCCATTACAAAGTATTCTCCACTGCAGCCTACTCCGTAGCTACTGTTAGGCTGGAGAACAGCAGAGAAATCACATCAGAATTTGATCAATTCAGTCTAATAACATTTGGAAAGTCTAGAAGAGCAGAAGGATTGCATTTTTTTAATCTCTATTCTATATAAAACATAGTCAATATTCAAGTCTCTTTAGGGTTATATCTTGAAGAACACTCTTAAACCCATAAAATGTTCATTATTATTATTGATACGCATCTTGATATTATAGACATTGATCAAAAAGCATATTGTATATTTGGTTATTTCGCCCTAATGCTGCCTTGGCTCAATATTGTTGTAAGTTAAGCAATATCAGTTTGAACTGTATTTCCCAAGGGTTGATCTTGATATTGTTGTTTTGGTAAAAGGGATCATATAGCTTCTCTTCACAAAAATAAATCATGTGTGGGCCAATGCACAATATCACAAATCCAGACCTGATCTGTTTCAGAGCTCACTCCAAGTAAAGGCAGCTGCAGGCTGTGCATGTTACATCATTAGACAAGTAAAAAAAGGAAAAACAATCCAATTTGATGGGTTGAATCAGAACACGGTGTCTTTGTGTGCAGAGAGGACGTGACACGAGGTAGTAATTAGCTGCCGTGTCAGGTGCTACTAACACAAGCCTGGGAAAGAATGATCTGAATCATGGCATGACACTGTGTTAACCTGCCGGGCTTTTTAATAAGGTCAGCCCTCTCACTCACTGCCTCTGTCATCTCAGGAAGAAGCACTTTCCTTAATGAGGGGTTTTGTCCATGATCACTCTGCGTTGATTGTCGCCTACAGTACATGTCAGGGATGGTAATTAATTCAGTTAATTCATGTGACGCAGAGAATAAAGCACTGTAAGAGGAAATTCACTGCAAATCCTAGTTTGTGCGATGAAAAATACAACAGGAAAAATGAGGTTGATCTAGTTGTCCTTAATTGATTTCCTTTTAAATCCACATTTGTTTATCGTATTTCATCAAAAAGCATTATAGACTGAAGTTGCAGATACAGATCTTCGGTCTGTGTGCCATTAATTTGCCAGCTAGTTAATACTTAAAGTGGACCTATCATGCTATATTTTAATAATATAGTGTAGGACCATACCTATATAAGGCATATTTATACTTTTTTTTTTTCAAAATACCAAACAGATCATGCATTTTAGCCATGCCTCATTTCGCTCAATTTGCACTTTTTTAGCTCTGTTTTTGCAAGGGCTGATTCTGTGAGAACAGCACCATCTACAGGCCTGGCATATGTACTACAGCGTCTCCAGTGCTTTCGAACGGCAATGGCCGTGGCTGTCTCCTCCTGATTGGTGGAGTTGGCCCAATAGCCGTAGCGCCACCGTCCTGACGTCAGGACAGTGTTCAAATCTGGATCAGTTTTTATCAGATCCGTTGCAGCCCCTTTTTTAGAGATTTGGGTATGGAGGAAAATAGAGAGGGTTGTGTTTTCTGACACTTGGTGAGTTCCCTGGAACACCGGGGACACATATTCATGTATAAAAGACGTACAAAAGTGCATTTTGCATGATAGGTCCCCTTTAAATAAAAGAAAAATGGATTATGAAAAAAAACGTAGGAGAAATGTCAAAGACAAAGATTGAATGGGTAGTTTTGCTGGATCTGAATTTGAGTTAGAACGCTAAAACGTTTTGTCATTGTGCAAAAGAAAAAGCGACAAAAGAGACGTTTTGCTGGTTTCTACAGCACAACATTACAGGAAGATCTCCTTCCTTGGAGTGTGAGATAGAGTAGGCATCACTTTCGTCTATGGAGACTGCCTCATTACGCCCATTGCCAGCAGAGACAGGAGAATTAATAGGCCTCTGTAATTTAGGCCCCGATATATGATCTACTTCATCGTTCATTTAGTTTGACATCCCCCTACTCCCTTAATTTCCTTTTGCCCATCTCTAGACTCCATTCATTAGCATGGGGCAGTCCAATTCATTAACGGAGGCTGCCTGCCTTATTCCGAGGAGGTTATGTAAGGAACGGCCACTTCCACTCTGAGGTATATCTCTTTCTCCCTTTCCCTCTTCCTCTGTCTTTCCCTCGCTCACTGACCAATCAGTTATTCTGCCCTTCACTTCTGGCTAGACTAATGAGTCTTCATGGAGCCCCAAAAAAGAGCTGATATGCTAATCCTGAAGGGGCATCTCATTCACATACACACACTTATACGCACGTCGAGCAAAGCTATTGCCACTCCAGTGTGCGAGGATTTGAGATCTGGAGTGAGATCCCACTGCTATAATCTGTCACGAATCAGGCCAAGCTGATGGAGCTGTGATATATGTGAGCAATGTGTACCTGTGAATGCTATAACTCATTACCCTTTATCACTGCCAGCTCAGGCTGACTGGCTTCATTCCTCACCCTCTCACCCAGTCTCCCTTTCCGTCTCTCCATTTTTTTCATCTTCTTCACAATTGCACTTTTGTTTTGCGGTAAGATTCCAAGGGCAAAGATTACATGAATTTCTCTATAATTCTCTTTAAATTGCCATATTAAATGACATAGCTCACTTCCTGATTATTGGTGCTACTTTACAATTGTTATTGACTGTATTAATGGGTACTAAATTATTTGTTAAGGCTTAGCAATAAAATATTTTTATTGTGAAAGTAAGCAGAGCATTAATTATAGATTTATTGACATTGATTATATCATAAATAAAAATGTACAACCTCTTTGTGGCTATGCTTAACGGTATGTGCTATTAAAGTAACTGCATTATAATCAGATTTAACGGTCCCACAGTAAAAGCTATAAGATAAACCCTTTTAAATGTTATACTGTTCTTTAATACTATATTGGGATAAAGTCTTCTCAACCTACTGTTGATACAACAGATGTGTCTTGTTGCCATTTATTATCGTTTTCTTACAGTGTTATCACAAGGTATGTTGTACAGAAAACAATTTTCTACCTGTCTGTCAAGAAGTCAATGCATGAGATGACTCTAATTATGAAACAAGCTGGAGTGATTTGCTACTCGTCCATTTTGCACACAATTTAACTTAGTTAAAACGCAGCTTCCCAGAAATATTGAAGCTTTTACAACCTTCGAAGAAGACGATGACATCCTAATGTAATTGACTGGGTGACGCAGATCCTCCCACGAGGGGCAGCTGCAGCTCAGATTTTCTTCCTCTGCTCCTTTTATATATCAGTTTCTTGTTGACGATTTAAAAATAGTTTTCCTTATCAATGGTAAGTTATCTGCAAATGATATGGGTATGTGAATATAATATGTTGTCAAGAATTGGTTTATTTGAACATTAAGCTTTGATGTCATTTTTAAGTCCAAGTCCCTGAGAAAATGAACTATACCAAAACAATCAGAAAGGAAAAATGAAGCTAGCAGCCTAAAAATAATGCCACGCTATTTGGCTCTAAACCCCAGAGACACACAAGAGTAAACAGGCATGAGACTGCGGGCGACAAAGAAAATGTGATAGAAAGGCTTAACAGTGAGATAAATAAAGTCGCACAGTCAGCTACTGTTGGGAAACAAAGCTGAGTATATCCCTCCTGGGGAGAATACAGCAGTGACACTTGAGTTTAGTTATTGTCTAATAACAGTGTGAAGAGCTGCATTGTATGCCTGAGCTCACAGATGAAAAACAAACAAACAAACCAAAAAATAAGCCTATTAGGTGACAGCAGTCAAAAACACAAGCCGACTAACATTGCTTCAGCAATAACAAAATGGTCCGGTGGAGAACTGACGATATTGAATAAAACACTCCACCTCTAATGCGGAAAGTGCCAGGTCTCTCAATCCCACCCCACCCCGTGCCCTTTGAGAGCCGAAAACCCAAATACAGTCTGCTGCTGTTTGTCCCTGTAACACCCTCTCCTCCATCATCCTCCCTTTGTGGCCTCGGTTGGCAACAGAAAAGGCAGAAGCTTCAATCTCAACAGATTACCCCGAGCAGAGAGTGTCTCGCACCTCTGCTTATCAGACCTACCAACCCATCATCGCACCAGGGACAGGCGGGGAAAAAGGGTAAGACACTTTCCCCAGAGAATGCATATTGATAAGATCTACCACAAATAGAAGACATCATGGTTACCCCGTTAGAGGTGCAGCACAGCCGGGGTGTTGCATCCTGCTTATTCCACAGGCTATAGTTAGATCTACTGTAATGTACTTGCTTATCACAGATGTGGGCTCTTCCCACTTGCTTTTACTTACAAAAAAGGAAGTGAAAGAGAATACATTGGAACTCATAATGTGTGACAGTGTTTTGTTTTGTTGGATTTAATAACACCTGATTTGACTAAAAGGTTTAAGTGCTGACTTATCATAAATAAATAAAGTGTATTACTTTAGGCGTGATGATTTGAGGGCATTATATCATGCATTCACATCAGTAAACAGCTTAGTGTGTAGCCTTTTTACACATAAATCCCAAACTAACTTTAGAGGAAAGCTATTTGGAGATTTGGAGACCCCAGCCTGTTCAAGTCAAGAACATTCCCCCAGTTTGGCAATAATAAACTCTCAAGCTGTACAGAGAATGCAGATAGAAAATGTATTTATACCAGTAGCTTGGCTAAATAGCATGGTATGGCTAAAAAGGCCGCACTCCAACCTCAAAATCATCATATAATGTAAATCAAATGCGGATAAAAACCATGGAAAACACATTACAGTATTAATCTTGGCTACACTGTATATGGGTCTGTCTATACATCCATTTACATGTAATCATGCTCTCATATACCGTTGATAAAGTAGTTGC